GAAGTTATAAAGTACTTCATACAAAGCTAGTAGATGTATAGGCTCACTGTTATAGTTGCCCAGCGTTGGTCCTTAAGTTATACATTTCTGAACTGGTTTAGGAGGAGCTAGTTACATATTAAAGTTCTCACACATAACCATCATTACTTCAACCGCCTTAATCACTTACAAGTAACCACAGAAATAAGGTACAATCTTTATTTATATCCCGTCTTTTTCCTGACATGAGACCCAAGGTGGCTTGGGTTAATGTAAACAGAACTCAGTTTTATTGACCACAACTACCTGAATCCATTCAAAATAATATTTTTTTCTCTTTCCTTTTTAAAATTATGCTGGCTTATTATATACCTGATCTCCAAGAGGAATCTAGACTGATTTTCAGCGTTTGAGAGAAGATATGTGGGCAATACAAGCTTTCAAGGTTTTGTCCCTTAATTGTCTGAAATACAGGACTTTTCAATATTTGATGCATGGTCAAACATACATTTCAGTTCTTTTCTACCATTACAGATTGTGGGATAACTTCTGTTTCTAGCTGTTTGTCATCATCAACATAACTTCAATGTTGGTCTCATTTCTAGGTTTGATGTGTTGAAAAATATTAAGGTTTTGTTTTCAAAGAGCTATGTCTAACACACCCATATTTTGTCAATTCATTTTATGTTGTACAGAAGCTCCATCCACTCACGCATGTCCAGTTTCTATAAAAACTTATTTAATTCCCTTAACCAAGGTGTGTTTGCAGGTGAATCATTCTATCAGCCCTGGTTTGTTTTTATTTAAATTGCAGTAGAGGTATTTAACAGTAAAACTGAAAATACACATGTCTACAGAAGAAGAGGTAGTTGCCAGGACATAGCTACATATGAGAAAGTGCCTTTAAAATTATAGTTCCCATGACTGCTTTAGAGTTCATGCTATCAAAGCCCTGGACTCCTGATCATAGTTTTGACTTTTTGCTACAAAATTCTGAAGTCAAGAAAATTAAGTCACCCACTGCTGAAGTTCAGTGCCAAGCTCTGAAAAAAATGAAAGCCAGGTGACTAGAGGTCTCTCTCTTAATTATAAAAATATGCAAAGGAATATAATGGAAAGTTACAAAGCATTAAGAACTTTTGACCACGCAGAAAGCCCATTGCTAAAAGCCTGTCCACTTTCTGCAGTTCAGAGAGATAGAGTGGAATGACAGTAAGGCAGGACCGTGTATGAAAGAATACTCCATACTTACCTAAAAATCCTCCTCCTTGATAAAATGTAAATGAACCCAAACTAACAGAATTCAGAGAGGTTTTATTGTGTGATAAATTAATTCAGAAATGAAATAGTTTTTGAGTGCATTTTAAAGTTTGATCTGGAGGAGTGATTCATATATGGCAGAGTTCCACTTTGAGGTGGTTTCGATCTGCAGGGCTCATGAAAATTTTGACTTCAGTGTGCATTTTGGTGATGGGTTGCTGTTCACACAGTAAAGGCAGGCAAAATGCTCATTTGCGCACCAAAGGGCAGAAACCCATAAGATCAGTATGAAGAGCTCTGTATCCCTACCATATATTCAAGAAGTAGTATAAATATGAAAGCTGTAAAAAAAAAAAGTATCTTGAGTAGACAGCAAACTCTTTCCTTAAGTATAATTTTTTCCCTTTTGAATTTTTAGGGTAAAATGTTTCCTCCCTACCAGGATTCTCACATTCAAAAGAAAAGCTTGCAAAGAATTAAAAGAATTGATCACTGCTTGCTTCTTTTTATGGTTAAGAAAAGCTGAAACACTTACAGCTTACAGACATGTATATCAAGGATGAGAAACCACAATCAGAGAAATCTTTGAGGCAGTGCTAAGAAAGCAAAGAGTCCTAAAGTTAGAAAATCTGAGTCAAATTCACGTTCTGAAGGTAATCCCACATAGCTTTTGGATTTTAGCTAATAGACAATTATCTATCTTGCAATATTACACTTTCTTTGTCATGGACTGCCACCTTGGCATCTTTATCCGGACGCTGGCAGCCTTAAGTAGCAAGCCTTTAAAAGAAGCTTCAAAAAGGCAAGAGAAGCAAAGGAGATTTAATCCTTCTATATTGCGAGATAATCTTCCTGCCCTTTGTTTACCTCAACTGATTTTGCTAAGGTTCTTAGTAAGAGGCTTGAACAAGGAAGCAACATTAGATTTTTGTAAAAATCTAATGGATAGTTCGAGGTGTGAAGAAATGCAGTTTCATTTATAGCAGTATCTGTCCTAAAAATATTTTCTAGGATGGAGGGAAGAGGAGGGAAGTACATTCAGATGGTTTTTGGAGGAGCTGGCTAAATTTACGGTTGCCTTTCCTCTTCTTTTGGAGAGGTTGCGTACTCAGCCATCTGCTGCAAACACTGAGCTTGATGCACAGCACTTGTCATTCGGAGTAGGATCATGTGTGGGTTAAGCCTCCACTGTTAGCTTCCATTAGTGACCTCAAGGATCCCTCTTTGTGGGGTGAGGGGTGAGAACTTCCATCGACTAAATTGGGCATTTCCATTGCACAGATCAGGCCTGGAGGACTGAAATCAGACGCCTGAGATTACTGCTTAAGGTCATTTGTCACTTTCTAGACAAACTGAGGATCAAGCTTAAGGGGTAACAGGCTCTCTATACCACCACCTTGTCATATGTATTTCTGTAGGTTGAAAACATTGGCAAACGGTGTGTGTAAAACTTCTCTTTGCTTGGGAAAAGTAGCCTGTGTTAGATGGTTAACAGGAACAGTCAAGTCTCAGAAATAAATATAATGCAATGGCAAACACATGCAACTGGAAGAAGACAGAACTAAAAACAAAGTTATTTTATACCACAGTACAATAATATAACCAGCAAAGAATAAAGATATAAATGGAGAGACTGAAAAGCTAAATCCAATTGCTACTCTCAACTAGAGTAGAATCAATGGGATGTATGTAAGTTTTGACTAATGATTCAGTTTACATCTATTCTAGTTTAGACTACTAGTTGGCTTTAGAGCAGTGTTTCTCAACCTGTGGGTCCCCAGGTGTTTTGGCCCACAACTCCCAGAAATCCCGGCCAGTTTACCAGCTGTTAGGATTTCTGGGAGTTGAAGGCCAAAACATCTGGGGACCCACAGGTTGAGAAACACTGCTTTAGAGCAAAGTAATTGTGTTTCATGACTTTGCAATGTTCAGGTCTTCTAAATGTTATAATCAGAAGAGAAAATAGATGGAGAATATTTTGGACTATGACACTTTCAGGTGGAAAGAGGATACAGTAATATTTGTTTAGTATACTACACTTGGGATTTATCATTACATATTATGGAAAGGTTAGGTTTTACGTTACTTCAGCTTCTCATCTCTGGACATTTTTGTTTGGGAGATGTAGTAAATGTCCCATATTATAATGTAAGTTTTAGCTTCTATCTGAATATTTTAATATAATACTAATAATTTTATTTCTTACCAGCCTTCCTCATGGTGGGTTACAACATCGCAAAAATGCCAAAAGTGAAAAGGTTCTAATTTTTCTAAACAGCAATGTAGAGGCCAAAAATAATTGGAAAATTTATTATGTATAACCCAATATGGGCTTCCACTGGATTAGATTTAGTGATAAAGAAGACTCACTACAATAAGTGGTCTACCATATTATTAAAGTTGGACAAAAATATAAGCTGATTTTGCTTTCAAGGTGTTTTAGCACCTTAAAAAGTGTACCAGTTGGTCCTCAAGTACCAGCTGCACTTAACACATGATGAACATTGTTATGTAAGCCTACCCTAAAGCATGATCCTGATAAACTAGCCAGATGTTTGGGCTTCTAATTCTCAGAAGCCCTAGCCAGCTTTTCCAATGGCCAGAAATTCTGGGAGCTGACATTCAAACACCTGAAGGGGCACAAGTTTTGACACCTCTGATCTAGATTTTTAATCTTTGCCAAGCATTTTTAAAGCCTGTCTGAGTGGTATGTGTTACATCTGATAGTGATAATGTATGCAGTATCGAATGACAATGAATTGATCTAATTTGTATTCTCAAAGATGCCACACTGTCTTCAAAAGCTGGCACATCATTTTCAATTATTAAAGTAATATGGCCTTGATCATCAAAGGAATTAATGGATCAATTTGCATAATCCTGCATCTAAGACTCATTTAAATTATTATTGCCAAACGAAGTATTCTGCAATAAGGAATAAAACACATCAAATAAAATAAAGCAGGTTCCATTAAATAAACAATAAAAGGTTCGCTAAAGGTTTCCCCTTGAGATTAAGTCTAGTCGAATTTGATTCTAGGGGGTGGTGCTCATCTCCATTTCTAAGTCGACGAGCCGGCATTGTCTGTAGACACCTCCAAGGTCATGTGGCCGGCATGACTGTATGGAGTACCGTTACCTTCCCGCCAAAGCGGTACCAATTGCTCTACTCATATTTGCATGTTTTCGAATGGCTAGGTTGGCAGAAGCTGGGGCTAACAATAGGAGCTCACCCATCCTGTGGATTTGAACCACCAAACTTCTTGTCAGCAAGTTCTACAGCCTAGTGGTTTAATCCGCGGTGCCACAATGGCCTCAAACAAATAATGCCCAAAGAGAAACTTGCACAACTTTCCTAACTACTGAAATGCTCTCTATCCAGAAATTATTTGCTGAAAATATAGCCAAAGATGATATTTACCTACATTATGTTATGCAGGCCAACAACACAGAGCTTTGATGAATCCCCCCCCCCCAAAAAAATATAGTAGATGTTTTAAATGTATTTTTTTTTTTAAAAAAAACACTACAAATGTCATTCCAGACACAGTTCTGTCACAAATTCGATAAACTTATCAATTCCATTATTTCCCAATTTTGATTACATGTGGATGTTGATGTTCCAGTGGGGTTTGTTTTAGTGGTTTTTAATTGATTTTGTGTTTCATATCAGCGAATTAAATTGTTTTAAAAGTCTAATAGACTTTAACACCTTTCTTAGTGTTTACTCTTTACTTCCCAAAGAACTCTTACTCCACCCCATTACAAAATAAAAACTGTACATGATGGAGCAAATCTGCTGTTATTTGAGGATTCCCATAAACCCAGGATCCATTTAAAAATGTTTTAATGATCTTCAATTTTGCAGGCCTGTGTTATTCTTTTGAGCACTTTTTATCATCACAGTAGTAAAATACTTGAGCTAACCTTTAGTAAGAAGGAAAATGCTAACAGATGAAGAAGTAGACATTTTGTGTATTCTAATATTATAGTGTCCTTTTCAGGAATATATCAGAATGAACAATTATCCATTTCATTTGAACTTTCATTTCATTACAGTTCTATATACAGTTTTTAAAGATTCACTTTTCCTGACAATTCTTTTAATGCCTCATTTTTATTCTCTTATAAAGTTTGTGTCTGCTAAGATTGTATTTGAGCTAGAAAGCAAATCCCAAACAAATGTCCAGCTCTATAAATTTGTTCCTTCTTAGATGAGAAAGCAATATGCTGAGTTGGTATACACAGCCTAACCAGGAAATCGCAGATGACCGTATTAAAGACAAAAATAGTAGAGTTTGAGGCTAAGCCAAAGATGAAGTGTCAGGGGTGGGACCTACTTGCGCGTCACCACACAAATAGCTGTATGCAAATAACACATGATTAAGGTTCAAATGATGGTTTTCCGGGATCTGTTCAATCTGAATCAGAGCTTGCCAGATGTCGGCTTTTCAAATAGACTTTCAAAGTCAAGAAGTGTGAATAAATAAAAAAGAGAAGGCAGCAAGAAAAGAGGAAAACAGCATTACAGATGGTAACATTTAAAATAGAAAGACAGGGCCCAGAGATGTCAAGACCTGAGCAAGATTGTTTCTGACCAGGGCTTTTGGAGGTCTTTTGTTCATAGGGTTGCCAAAAATCAAAGCTGACCTATAGACACAAAACTGTGATAGCAAAGAAAACAATCTTAGGCAGATTGCATTTAAGGATGAAGCTGTTTCAAATTCAAATTTCTTTGATGTTAAAACAGCTTCATTCTTTGTTTTACTATCAAATGTATATGATATTGAAACAAAAAACAAATAAATTCAAAAGATGAGTCACTGGCTTTTAGAAAACAAGCTCAAGAAGTAATCAAGAGATGCGCAGAAAGAGAAATAAATGATAACTTACTGGAAGAAAATGATCTGACAAAGTCAGGGAAACTAATCTTGGAAAGAAGCAAGTTTTCTCATACTTCAGAGACAGCTTGGAGAAGAGAACATCGTCCTGACTTATGAGTGACTCTTATGCAGTTAGACCTCTGGGGAAAAGGCTTTCAGAGAAGAGTTAAGCGATGTGTCATAAGTCCTGGGCTTAGTCATCACTGTTTTGCTCTTCTGAGGAATTTAGTGAAATGGAGAAGCAGTACAGTTAGAGGTCAGTAAATATGTTTCCTTTTTGAGACTCTCCTGCATCATTAACCATTGTTTTCCTACTATAAATATAGATGCTCTTCTTGGCTCTACAAAGTGTTTAGAAAGTTCTTTGTGCCCCTTTATGAAGGATTCTTCTTATGGCGTCTGGCATATACATTAAGGTTTTTTAGATATGGAGAATGCTCCCACCACTGACAGGCTATTGTAATGAACCAGACAGTAGAGCCCCCCTCTCCTTTCACAGCTGACTTGAGAGGCTTTCCCACTTTCTCTAGTATCACAGGACACTTGTATATATACCAGAGAATGGTACTTGCCATAACTGTATTGTCGAAGGCTTTCATGGCTGGAATCACTAGGTTCTTGTGGGTTTTTTCGGGCTATAGGGCCATGTTCTAGAGGCATTTCTCCTGACGTTTCGCCTGCATCTATGGCAAGCATCCTCAGAGGTAGTGAGCATCCTCACTACCTCTGAGGATGCTTGCCATAGATGCAGGCGAAATGTCAGGAGAAATGCCTCTAGAACATGGCCCTATAGCCCGAAAAAAACCACAAGAACCTTACCATAACTGTGTTGCTAAAGAGTGACACCAATAGCTATTTCAGATTTCTAAGATTAGATACACGTGGCATCTACAGAGATCTTGTTCAAGGTATTATCCATATTCAGCTCCATAATACTCCATTCCCCCTTTTTGTTTTGTTTTCCAACTCTGTAAATCAGCAGTGGGTGGATAGGAGCATCCCTACACGTGTTTCCTTTCTCGTGTGCAGATAGCATAATTCTGGCTATGTGTAGCTCAGGAATCAGTGAATTCGTTCACTATTAGAATGTATGATTGAGAATAATGAATGGTGGTTGGAATTCTGAGGTGTTTAAAGTCAGAACGTATTAATTTGGGAAGGCAATCTCAGCCTTCGGGTTCAAGGACCAAAACTTTGCTGTGGCTCATTCAGCTCACTGACAGGGATAAAAAACAAAACCCAAATTCACATATAAAGTCTTAGATAAAATTACCCTAGGATTAATCTCTGCAAATGATTATCCATGCTGTCATGAAGCTCAGTCTATAACTCAATTTGGGAATGTGAGTAGGAGGGTGGATAAGCATCATTCTGGGGCTTACTCAATAGGCAATCTATTGAATATAGCCTTTATCTGCCATTTCCAATTCCCATCCTACCCATATAATTTCCAAATAAAGGATATGGTACACATTTTGGATTCTGTATAGACATATATAGCTCTATACATATATAGTTCCTATATAACTCTTAATATTTGCCTAATGAGCTGAGCAGTGGAGCTGTTTTTCCCACTCCTGCCAACGCATCTGCCCACTCTTGCCTTCATTCAACCCTTGCCTTCATTCAACAGGGAGATCTGACTGGGCAGTCTGCTTGCATTCACGTAAAGGCAAGCTGAATTTCCAACATGGTTTCTTCTATTAGGATCCCTGATCAAATGGAGTGCTTGACTCATGTTCCCAAGGATCCAAGCAGAACATCCCTTCCAATCCTGCTGCTCAACACAAAGGGTCAGGGAATATTCCAAAGGCATTCCATGAGGAAAACTGCAGAGTTATTCTTACTCCACATGTCTCACAAAACCAAAAGACTGTGGAGTCTAAGCAATTTTTCAATAGTAAAAAGTTTCAACTTGATAGCAGCCAACAGCCATCGTGCTACTGCATGTAAATAGTAATATTGTACGGTTTTTAAAGTCAATGAAAGATTCTACATTAAAATTAATTTAAACAACAGAAGGAAGTATAAAAATGCTGTGACCATTATTCAAGTAGGACTCTATATCATAGTCATCATCCCACAAACAATTGGAATTAATCAAAAGCTGTTCCCACTAACAGCAGAAGGACTGAAGTGATCATAACAACTTTTTAAAAAATAACAAAAGTAGTGTTGGATTCTTTGGTCCCTATCTTGATATACACTACTTTACCAGCTTCACCAGGACTATTTGCATGAATCTTCAGATTTGGAATGGTTTCTGGTCCCTTTATGCACAGCAAATAGGACTTTTGTCTCTAGACAGAGCAGGCATGTAAATAAACACTTCATTTAGTTTGCTTTAGAATATTTTGTTTAGTTTAAATTAAAACTCCATTAAAAAAGAAAGTTCTTTCAGTCTTATGATAGTTCTAGAGCAGTGATTCCCAAACTCTAGTCTTCCAAACGGAGGTCTAAAACACCTGGAAGTCCAGAATTTGCGGATCGCTGTCCTAGAGGAAGGACAGGCACCTGGGTGTAATTGCTGCTTTCAAGCAACTAGAAGAGGCCTGCCACTAGCATATGTTATGCGGTACAAGTGAGATGGAAGGTGGAAAGAAAGGATATCAATTGTACTTTCACAGTGCCAAATGCAGCTCACTTTCACTACTGCTTTTCTACTGTGCATGGTAAGATGGCTCATTCAAGAGAGAACTGGAGAGGAGATGCCAAAACATTTGGTAGTTCAATTTGAACAGTGCATTTGATTTTTCATGGATGACACTGATCAGGTTCAACTTGACTTGGACTCCAGACTTGGGGCAATTGACATTGAAGAAACTCTGGCAAGTATTTATCCTATTACGTGGAATTCTTTTCAAGCTTGTAGATCTCAAAGATATGGACAACACAAATGGAGTGTTGAAGGCTATATTATGTTTGTGTGGTCCTTAATTCTCCTGGCTGATAAAACCTACCAGCAGAGAAATAATGCTGGAGTTAAATATTAATGTCTCTTTATAGGAACGGGCTGTCCCTCCTGCATTGTTTTATTCTGTACCTCACGTAATTCAATGGCTATACCAGTGGTTCTCAACCTGTGGGTCTCCAGGTGTTTTGGCCTACAACTCCTAGAAATCCAAGCCAGTTTACCAGCTGTTAGGATTTTTGGGAGTTGAAGGCCAAAACATCTGGGGACCCACAGGTTGGGAACCACTGATCTATATGAATCTGCTGGGGGAGATAATTTGATACTCTGAAGTCAGGTGCTACCAAAATGCTTATGATTCAGCTGCACTGCTCCTTGTCACTTAACAGCAGAGAAGAATTTAGGACCATAACATGTGTCTGGATTTGATAATTTGAAATTAAATCATAACAAAACAAACATGCTGCTGGTTAGTAGAAAGTTTGAATGGGATTCAATCTACTTTAAGTGGGGTTCCCTGAAAAACCAGTTAGGGTTTTTTTTTTTAAACTCCAGTCATGCTTCTTGAACATGTGCTATCTCTGGTCTTTCAGCTGACAGAAATAGGAAAGGGTCCTTTTGTACAACTCTATTTAGTGTACCATTGCAACATTTCTTGAACTGAAATAATTTGGTAACTGGAATTCACGCTTTAGCAATACTGTGGGTCTTCATGGTCTACATCTCCATGGGTTTACCTTTAATGAGAATTCAGAAGCTTTAGTTGATAAACATCTGGCTGCTAGTGTGAACGAGTTAGTAAACAAGGTCATATCACTTCAGTAATCCAGAGATCTAGTTTTAAGAGATGATGTATACCTATGGAGACGTACTGCACTCCTGTTTCTTTTTAATAAGTTGTATTTTGTGAGCTCTCAAAAGAAATGGGGAATAATTGAGAAAGGGCACTATAGTTGCAGTGATCTGATGATATAAGGCAATCACCCTGTAAAACGCAAGTGAATAGTGACAACTGCCGAGTAAACACTTAGTATGGAAGTACTGAGAGTGGGATTAACATGTCTGTCTTTGAAAACCCTATACAGTGAAACACAACTCAGAAGTCATGTCAGGCTATGCCATGTTGGAACTGAAGAGATAAAGGAGGCAAGATATGTAAATGCCCAGGGACTATGCCAGTTAGTTCATGAAGAACTTAAATCTGACACCTCTTACTAAAGAGCCATTAAAAAAGCAGGGAACAATAGAAAAGCAGGATCACATTTCTCTGAAAATTCAGAGGTGGAATTTTAAATCTTTTTTGGATAATTTTAAGGAATATTTTGGATGCCTGATGTTAACAGATGTTTATTTTATGCCTGTTCAGTATCTATTATGTATTACTTTGTTGTGTGCAAAAAGCCATATCTTTTGAAGCTGTCTTTTTTTTTAAAAAAAACATACCTATTTTAATTATCCTCTCCTTGTAAATCCAAATGGAACATCAATGGAAGAAAGAAGGAAATGGCCAGGGCTGTGCATATTCTGTTATCAGACTCATTAGTACAGAAATCACAATTTAGTCCAGAATTCAACATCCAAAGAATTTGACTTTCACTTTTTAATTATGGGTTTCTAAACCTGAAGGTATGTTTTTGGGTTGGCGTAAGGAGATGGAGAAAAATGATCTACATTTCCAGGAATCAGATCAGAGTGTTTCCTGTATACTTCTTTGTCTTTCCCAATGTACTGAGAGAGCAGCCATATGCAAAATGTGGAAATGTACCTAATTCGTATTATTTATTTTAAAAAATGGAATTCTGCAGAATCTGAATTACAGAACTGTAATAATTTTAGCACAGATTGCACACAACCCAGGGAACAATTCCCCGTATCCATATTGATGTTACCATGGACTGAAAGACCCCAAAAATAATAAAAACAATTCCTTCGTTGAAACATTTTTTTGCATACTTTTCTTCCTTTAACTATTTAATGAAATGAAAACAAAGGGTCCAAGCCACACTTGCCTTGCTCAGAAGATAGCCGTCAACAGCTAGCAGTCAACAGAGCCATCCATGTGAAAAAGAAAAGCAAAACTTGACCCCCAAAACAATTCCCTAAATAGGGATAACACTAATCACCGAAGTGCACTTGACACCATAGGAGCTACAGTATTCTTTACACATGCACACTTTGTAGGACACTTTGTACATGGAACTAAACAATGGAATATAAATACGCAAGCATCTTCTTTTTAAGTACAGAAATTAAAGTTCATTTACATTCTTTACTTTCCAAGATACTGATGGAAAAACAATACCTTCCCAACAGCAAGCCTGAAGATGCTCATTAATGCAGTAAAATCATCTACACACTCACACACTCATACATGCACTCACACACAGGCACCTTTCTCTCACATCCTTCAGGTCATATACAACTGTGTGACTATGAAGAGCCCAAGACAAAACATACTCCTCTCACCAGAAGAGGATGAGGAAATGGTTAAAATTAATCCATTTTCTTTTGTAGACGGGTTCTCCTCTCTTCCACAGTTTCTGGGCTGAAATCTGTACAGAGGCCATTGGGGGCAGGAGCGTCCAAGGAGCTTCCAGTCTCCATTTGATCGGGATATAAATATTCCTCAGCAAAGTCTGGATACATTTCAGTAAACCTGTGAAATTCATCTAGAAATGGGCAAAAGAAAGACATATATGACTGAATTTCAACAACAGACACTGTCTTCTTTGTGAGGGAGAGGCACGATTTAAAAAATCTCTTAGGTAATAAAGTTACCCAATAAAATAATAATAAAGTTATTACATACAGTGGATTGAATCCAGTCTTGACCATGTTTAGAGCCGCACTGAATTCAAAGCCCTGGTGCAAATATTCATAACCCTCATTCCCATACAAATGTTCTTCACTGTCTATGGACATAAAAATTAAACTGCACTCACCATACGTAACTTTTCCCCTTCCTTCAACATCTATAGCTCTGAAAAGGTTTGATACGTTAAGGTCTGAAACACCCATTGCGGTTTTTAAAATGCAAGTTAAGTCCTCTTCTGTTATAGTGCCATAATCTGATTGATACATCTGTTGAAAGAGAAAAAAAAGAAGCAGTAAAGACATGATTTGTTTTCCTCGCAAAGCAACATATTTAAACTAGTTTTGTTACTAAGGGAAGATGTTGAGCCAGAGATTTTTCCAATCAGTATTCAGTTCAGCTCTCCAATAACACATAGCTTTTCCTGACCCAAGCCCAGTAGGATATTTTCCTTCCTGACAAATAAACCTTCTATTTCCATGATAATAACCGTGCTGATTTATGCCACTTCCCTCCTCACTTTAGAATGTTTAACTTTTGTAAATTACTCTATTCTTTGATAGTTGATTATCAAATGTATTAATACAATTTATTAACTGTTTTTTCACTACAAGTTGCATTCAAAGGTGATGAAAAACAAGAGAAAACATATACAACAACAACAACAACTAACAACAACAACAACAACACTTTATTTATATTCCACCCTTCTCATGGGACTCAAGGCAGATCATAGCACACATACATAGCAAACATTCAATGCTGCTTTGTATTGATAATACACAGACAGACAGAATAGAAGGAGGTGCCATGGAAGGTTCAAAAAGAACCTTAAAACCTGGCTCTTCCGCTGTGCCTTTGGCAAGCAGGTGCACAATATGACATCATTGCACCCCTCAACGCCCTTCCCACTGGAATACACGCCCTCCAAATAGGAAGTTTAGCATCATAACTATGTATGTTTTTACTAGTTCCCTGCAGATAACTTGCTCCTATTTTTATCTCATTAGAGTCTTAGAATAGTTTTTATCCTGTACATGTGGCCCGCCCATTGTTATTGTGATTGTGCCTATTTGAATGTTATTTTATGACTATGTTTACATTTTTTCTTTCTTGATGTAATCTGATGATGTTGTTTATTGTTTATGCTCTGGTTTTATTTTGTTGTAATATGTTGTCCGGGCTTGGCCCCATGTAAGCCATTCCAAGTCCCCATCGGGGAGATGGTGGCATGGTGTAAATAAAGATGATGATGATGATTATTATTATTATTATTAAGGTTGGGTTTGAGTCCAGGGGTGCTGTTGCTCCATCCTCTATGACAAAGAGCCATCAGGGTTTCCTCCTTCCTTTTGGTCGTCCAGCATTCTCTGATCTTCCTTCTTTATAGTGTCGTAAAACACCTCCCCCCCCCCCCCCCGCTGTTTTCAAATTGCTTAGGTAAACAATGAGTAGGACTGACAGTTGGCCACTCACGCCAATCCGGGGCTTTGAACTTGCAACCTTTCGGTTGATAGATCTTATAATTGCTGATGATTTACCAGCTGTGCTAAACCTCCAGCCCTTAATACAGATATAAATGCCCATGAAAAAGTAAATACCAATTTAAAAATTACTTTGTCAATATTCCTATGAGAAATTACTTAAATATATTTAAATAAAATTACTTGCCTTAAAAGCCAACTGTATTGTTTGCAGAGTTTTAGATGGCCTACAAACAACCGACAATGCTGTTACATATTCTCGTAAGTCAATCAGACCATCTTCTTTCTACAAAGCGAACAAATCGAAATTACATTACCAATTTCAGAAAAAGTAACTCTGAAAAAAAAGAAACATTTCAAGTGCACGTATAAAAAGAGCATAGGGAGGCTTCTCCAGAAAGATGTCCAAACCCAAATTTCCAAAGGATATTGTTAAGATTACATCTCTACCAGTTTTTCATTTAATAGGGGCAATTACATATTTCTGAACTCTCATAATCTCATGTAAGTCCCAGTTGTTTTTGCAGAGGTGGATTTCCAGAAGTCTTAATTGCATTCAGTTACAATGCATGCATTTCTGAGACTTTTTGGTACTCCAGCTATGTATAAGAGCATCTTTCAAAAGTGTTTACATAACCATTTTGCAATATATTTTCTAATGTTAGATTCCCTTACTTCGTGTATAATGACTTGTGGAGACATATGGCATACATTGGGTTGCTGTGATTTTTCTGGGCTGTATGGCCAAGTTCCAGAAGCATTCTCTCCTGATGTTTCATCCACATCTATGGCAGGTATCCTCAGAGGTTGTGAGGTGTGTTGGAACTAGGAGAGTGAGGTTTATATGTCTGTGGGATGTCCAGGGTGGGAGAAAGAACTCTTGTCTGTTTGAGGCAAGTGTGAATGTTGCAAATGGCTACCTTGTTTAGCACTGAATAGGCTTGCAGCTTCAAAGCCTGGCTGCTCCCTGCCCAGGGGAATACTTTGTTGGGAAGTGTTAGTGGGCCCTGATTGTTACCTATCTGGGATTCCCCCGTTTTCTGAGTGTTGTTCTTTATTTACTGCCCTGATTTTAGAATTTTTAATATTGATTTTAATACTGATATTCCACAGATATAAACCTCACTTGCCTAGTTTCCAACAAACCTCATGACCTCTGAGGATGCCTGCCATAGATGTGGATGAAATGTCAGAAGAGAATGCTTCTGGAACATGGCTACACAGCCCGGAAAATTAACAGAAACCCAGTAATTCCAGCCATGAAAGCCTTTGACAACACATATCATTTACAATTTGACATAAACATGTGAACAATACAATAGGAAAACATTCCATTAAGAGTAAAACAGATGTCTGAACTGAAATTTACTATCTTCTTCTCCCTATTGCAACCTCCTACACATTATTAAAATCTGCTCTGAAAGGTCATCCAGATTTCATGGGGGAAGAGAAAGGAAATCCAGTGTGATGACAGATGCTATTTTTTGCTGAATACGCACAGTTAGAATTTGCATTCCATAAATGTTTTCCAAGCATTAGAGCCCCTTTCCTGTATTTTTCTATGATGAAGACAGTGATGAGCAGCCAATAAAAGGCGTAATTCAAGACCATACATCCCACAGGTCAAAGGTATGTGCACAGTATCTTTCAATTCAATACTCATGTTGTAAGAGACTATTGCTCACAATGTAGATTGGTGCTTTCTATATTACAACTGGAACAGCCAAATTACAAGGACTGGTGCCATATTTGTGCCCATTGGCTACAACTGCTTCTTTCTATCCTAGAAGCTTGATTGGCAACCAATGGCTCACAGACATCCCTCATCCAGCGACCACTTTTTAAGTAGCACTGATTTAGGGTTTAATGCAAATAATAAAAGTTTATTTAACAATTATAAAATTAATGCATTTCTTACCTCATCAAAAAGTGCAAACATATTTTTTAATGTATCTGAAACTGGGACTTCCAAGTATTCAGCAAATTTCTTAAGACTGACTCTTTTGCCTTTCATTCTCTTGGCACTTCCTGAGTACACCTCAAGTTCCTTTTCAAGCTTCTCTGGCTTTAATCTAAATACAAAAAAGCAAAACAATAATGATGGCTTTTTGTGATTAAATCTTTTTGAAAAGAAAATACCAACTATTCTCTGTTTTTGCTAAAAATCAGATTTAATTAGTAGTTTGGACTTCAGACTAGGTAATACATTTAATTTATGCAATTTCTCTGCTAGAGTCTAGCAGGAAAGCAAGTCTGGAATATTGTTCTATACATGCTCATATTTGACATTTTCTCCTCTAGTGGTGGATTATTCAAATATGCATCCTCACACTTGCAGAAAATCTCTGAAACTCTGCATTATGCAGTTTACTGAGTGTACAGTCTGACTGTAAGAAAGATGGCCAGAACTTGGAAAGATTACGTTTTTGGGCCAAAATGCCTCTAATCCACCAAAATGTATTGTGATGAAACCTCATTTCTGAAAATGAACTTCAATGCAATATCCCAAACTTGCAAAAATCAATCTAGCTCCAGTAAAGCATGTGTTCCTTCTCTGTCAGCAAGCCAATAGTTTAAAGAATTATAAACAGATTTATTTATTTATTTACCATATTTATATATTTAGATTTAGGTAATGTTGAATGTTTTGTATGTGGAAAGTATTACCATAGGGCAGAGTCCCTCAAATTGTGCTCCTCCAGATGTTTTGGACTTCTGCTCCCAAAAATCCCAGCCAGCTTATCATCTGTTAGGAATTGCGGAAGCTGAAGTCTAAAACATCCAGAGGAGCACAGTTTGAGAAATTCTGCCCTAGGGAAATTATGATTTTCCTGGTTATAAGGCCAACTGCCAACTGAAACTGATGAAGATTCAGCTGAAGAAAAGTGGTATTGGGCCTTTATAATTAACGGTTACATCTAACAATATTAATTTTTCAAATTATTTAGTTTTTCCAACAATTTTGGTTCTGCTTCATATCTGCAATACATTAGATCTTGCTTGTAGGCAACATAAAACACGGACATTGCTTTACAACAGAGGTGTCAAACTCATTTTCACCGAACGTCCCATCAGCCTTACAGTTGCCTTCAAAGGGCTGTTTATTTATTTATTTATTTATTTATTTATGGTATTTCTATCCAGTTCCTTCTCAACCCCCGAAGGGGGACTCAGGACAACTTACATTTGGCAGCAATTTGATGCCACTACATATAACACAGCAATATAATAACAATTAAAACAATAAGTAAAACATTCATTAAAACTGTTGAATCCATAGATGAACAATCCATGAATACAGAGGGACAACTAGATTTTATTTTGCATAGCAGTTGGTGATCTTTAGTTTTTAACCAGTTTGGGTTCCCAAATGCATTGAACAACAGCACTCATCACTTTTGATTATCCACCATGTGGATTGGGGATAATGGGAATTACAATCCAATAGCACTTGTGGCTCTGAGATTAAGTAAAAGTTAAAAGACATTTTAGAGTCAAGTGTCATATCCACAAGCTTTGTATCTACATTTGAAAACCACTCTCCTGACTAAACAAAACAAACCGCAGTCTCCAGATGCTACATTATCACAACTCCCATCAGCTCTAGTAATGATGTCTAATGATGAGGAATACAGGAGATGTAGTCTCTCTGGTGGGCCACATACAATGGAATGACAGGCCAAATTTGGCCCATGGGCCTTGAGTTTGAGAAGTCTTACATCAATAATAGTAACTTCTGCCTCATACACCAAACACTGTTAAACAGAACTATATCATTTTTGTTGTTAATTGCTGTCAGGTCGACCTCTACCTATGGCAACTCTAAGAATTAGAAATCTCCAAGCCACTCTATCATCAGCAATCTTGTTCAGGTTCTGCAGGTTCAGACTATGTTTTGCTTGATTGGATCTATCTATCTGGATTGGGATCGTCCTCTTTTGACACTGTTTTCTACCTTAACAAGCATTATTCCCTTTTATAGAGAGTCATCTCTACTCATGTTATATCTAAAGTAGGACTGTCAGCACCAGATTTACTATTGTGCTTAGGTTTGCTTAAGCACAAGGCCCCCGTTGGCCAGGGTGTGTGTGTGTCTTCCTACCAATTTTTTTTACATGTTGCTATGGATATTTACTTTTATTTTTGTGTTTTTTGGTCTATACAAATAAAATATGGGAAGAACTGCATGCAGTAAAAGTACATGTGAACAGTGTTGCTGTCCAAAGTAGTTGGTCAACAATAAAAATAATAGTGGTTCATATCAGACTTCGCCCATGAAATGCTTTCTTTTTAAAATAAACAAAAGCCCACCCTTGCTTATGTGGTGCAATTCTAAATTTGAAGGGATTCTTTTTCGGAGCAATTCCAGATATAATGATAGAGTTGATAGTTAATGGAAGTGTGCCACAAAGCAGGCAGTGTAGGTCTACTGGGCCAACCTCCTTCAGGGCCTGAGGAAGGGGACTCATAACTTAACTAGCATAGGGCCTCATTTGTCCTAAACCTAGGACTGAGGAGAGTGCTGGTTCAGTTATCTTGGCTTCCAGGGAACATTTATTTACACATTTATTTTGTTGAGTTTTTTTAGCAGGCCATGTTTACTGAACTTTAATTATTCAAATGTATGCTTTTGCACACAAATAGATCTACTTACCCAAGACTTCTTACAAGTTTTGCAAATTCTAAGAGACAAGTATTTGAAGGGAGGCGGAGTTGTCCTTCAGCCAAAGCCAGCTGGCAGTCTTCAAAAGTATAGTCTGTGACTGAAACTCCAAGAGCCCTTTAGTGAGGAAAATATGTACACAATTATAATACGCTGCATTATAAATTATGCTGACAAGAATTGGATTACTGCCTCTGTCTCACAAATCTTCACTATCCAAAAGGCAATGTTTTCTTTGTAAAGTTTAATGTCACTAATTTTCTTACAGTGAGATTATATAAGCAAAGTCAGTACTACATCAGAATAAGAAGATGTGACCCTATACTATCACAAATGGAAGATTACTTACTTTGCCATTATACGTCTGACGTTATTTGCATACAAAGATGGATTCTTCCTTTCTTCTTCAGAAGGTATATACACAGGCAAAAACTGTGAGCAGAAAAAATGCACAAAGTTTCAAAAGAATATCATAATCATGTGCAACCATACACAAATTATGTTGCTTTTTAGAGGGTTACGGTAACAGGAACAGAAAGTAAAGAGCAAAAAACAAAGACCACTGCACCACTCAGGAGCTGTAGCAACATAAGCAGCACTGGTGGGGTTTTCTAAATTCAGTCATTATCTTACAAAACATGTTAAGTTTTTAAAAAGTGGCTAAATGATTGTGTTAGTGTTAATTAGCATGTTCTTTTTCTTAATTGTGTTTCTGTTACAGTAAGTGTCTCTATCTTTTCCATTGTTGAAATATGCTGTTTTTCTCTTTAGAGCACTGCAGATAAATAATGTGTAGCACTCAGAGGTACTCACTCCATGTGGTTATGACATAATGAACAACAAAGAATATTTGACTTTTCTGATCATTATGGTTTTACTATTCTTCACTTCTTCACCTATGTGGATTTCCATTCATATAATGATGTGAACACTTCAACTCAGGTTCAGAAGTGTAACTGAAGTAAAACCACACTGCTTGGAAAATGGTAGAGTTTGCTATTGTAAAGGGAGAGGGGGAAATCAGATATTACTGTTACTCCATACACTATTTTATTATTTATTTACTGTATACCCGCTCTATCTCAACTCCAAAGGGGACTTAGAGCAGCTTCCAAGTTGGCAATAATTCAATACCACATTAACATAAGAGAAAATACAATCTACATTGTGCTTTTAATTATGAAAATCATAAAACAACATATAAATACAAAAATAAGCTGTTAAAAGATTACACATAGTCTAAATACCATAATCCACAAGGTGTTCCAATCACATTGCCATTCACTTTGTAGCTGTATATAGTCCTGTGCTATTCTTCAAATGCTTGGTTCCATAGACAGGTTTTAAACTTGTTTTCTAAAGGATAGGAGGGAGGGGTCTGATCTAATTTCACTGGGAAGGGAGTTCCACAGCTGAGTGAGAAGGCCCTGTCCCTTACTCCTGTCAGGGGCCACTACTGAGAAGGCCCTGTCCCTCGCTCCTGTCAACTGAATCTGTGAAGAAGGTGGGACTGAGAGAAGCGCCCCCCCAAAGATCTTAGCGCCCACGATGGTTCATAGAGGGAGATGCGTTCAGACAGATAAGCTGGGCCAGGACCATTTAGGGCTTTATAGACTAAAGCCAGCAGTTTGAATTGTGTTCAGTAGCAAAATGGCAGCCAGTGGAGCTGATAAAACAGGGGTGTTGTATGTTATCTATATACATCTCAGGTGAGCAGCCTGGCTGCTGTCCGTCTGACTACTTGAAGCTTCCGAACAGTCTTCAAAGGCAACCCCATGTAGAACATGTTGTAGTAGTCTATTCAAGATGTAACGAAAGCATGGACTACCGAGGCCAAGCCTGACTTCCCAAGGTACGGGTGCAACTGGCACACAAGTTTTAATTATGTGAAAGCTCCCTTGGCCCGCACCTAGGGATCTAGGCTCAGTGATGAATCCAGGAGAGCTCCCAGGCTATGAACTTGTGATTTCAGGGGTTAGGGGTTAGATTTAACCCTATACCCTGTTCGGCCTTATGACTGACCAGAAGTACCCTTGTCTTGTCTGGATTCAATTTTAGTTTGTTCACCCTCATCCAGATTGTCACAACTGTCAGGCACTGGTTCAGGACCTGGACAGCTTCCTTAGCAGTAGATGGAAAGGAGTGATAGACATGGATGTCATCTGAATAAAGGTGGCATCGAATTCCAAAACTACAGATGATCTCTCCCAGTGGATTATTACATTAAAATTATATACTTCAATGTTTATTTTGTAGGCTTTTTTCATTATAGCACCCAGTTCTTTATACACACAATTTTGTTCTTAAAAAAATATGTTACCCTAAATCAATATTCAGGGGAATACTCACCTCTATTTCCACAAAATTATGAAACTGGCATAACGTAAGCCACAGAATTTTCAGCCTTGAAGGGAAAACAGAAACAAGTTTTTTTAATTTACAAGTTCATAAGTTATCAATCAATTCTTCAACTATCATTAGAATGCATGCCATTTTCTTTTTAAAAGCTATTCTATGTATGAACGAGCCCTTGCTAATTACAAAACCAATTAGCTAAGCATAGAATCTGTCATTTATAATATAATAATAATAATAACACCTTATTTATACCCCGCTACCATCTCCCCAAGGGACTTGGTGCGGCTTACATGAGGCCAAGCCCAAAATACAACAATACAAGCAATAACAAAAAACAATACAAGCAATTTAAAACAACAAAACAGTAAGACAATAACATAAACATTATCAAATAAGACAACACACTTTAAAATCTATGGGTAGGCTAAATGTAATTAAAATCAAAAAATAATGCTGGACACGGGCGAAAAGAGTGAATAAGTTGTTATTTCGCATATTGCTCTTTAAACACAATACAGACAACAGTTACAAATTGAAGAAGTATAGCTTAAATTGAAGTAGTAAGTAGGAAAACATGATGCTCTAAACAATAAATAAATTGATGAATTAGTATATAACTGACTTACGCTCCCGGACCTTGCCACGTCCATGTAATTGTATCCTATGTATAAAAGAAATACATTTCAATATTTATTATTTATTATTTATTTATTATTTGCATTTGTTAACCGCCACTCTCAGCCCGAAGGCGACTCGTGG